CCCTACGCCTCTCCCAATGGGGCTTGCTGGGGGTGGTCAAGGGCATCAGAGCGGCCAGGCTGGGTCAGCCCAAAGGTCCATGCAGCCCACAGCGGCCAATGCCCGGTGCCCCAGAGGGAGGGAACAGAGCCGGGACCCATCCAGCGACCCCTCCCCGGTCGCTCATTCCCAGCCCCTAAGAAAGGCCGGGGACACCAGCCCTGCCCATCCTGGCTAATAGCCACTGCACTGAGCTGCGTGCGAGTGCCACCCCCCATTGCTCACCGTTCTCCCCACTGCAGACGGACCTGCCGCTGGCCCCACCATGGCCCCACAGGGATCCCGCCTGGCTCTCCTGTCCCTGCTCTGCCTCCCCCGCTCCACGGCGAACACCCCGTATGACAAATTCCTCAAGCAGCACGTGGACTTCCCCAAGTCGTGGGCGGAGAACGAGCTGCGTGCGAGTGCCACCCCCCATTGCTCACCGTTCTCCCCACTGCAGACGGACCTGCCGCTGGCCCCACCATGGCCCCACAGGGATCCCGCCTGGCTCTCCTGTCCCTGCTCTGCCTCCCCCGCTCCACGGCGAACACCCCGTATGACAAATTCCTCAAGCAGCACGTGGACTTCCCCAAGTCGTGGGCGGAGAACGAGCAGCGCTACTGCACCACCATGATCGCAGCAGCAGCTGCCAGCCCAGGAACACCTTCCTCCACGCCAGCGAGGCCCAGCTCAGAGCTGTGTGCCGCTCAGGGGCCAGCCAGGGGCCAGACGTCCGCGACAGCCAGGGCACCTTCCGGCTCACCGTCTGCACCCGCCGGCCCAAGGGCCCCTGCCTCTACCAGGGCAGCTCCACCACGGCCCGCATCCGCCTGGCCTGCCGCGACGGGTCGCCCGTCCAGTACCTGCGGCGCCTCTAGCGCAGCCCTGCCCGGGAGAAAGGGTGGCCACTCGGCCCAGGAACAACACTGCTGGGGTGTTTCTAATGCCGCTGCCGGCTGTGCGCTCCACCTGCCCCGTCCCATCCCACCGCTGCCACCAATGCCCGGTGTTCAGTATGTCACCCCCATCTTCTGCCAGAGCATTTCCTCTGCATGGCTCAAGCAGCCGAGCCTGTCCCTGCCTTGATGAAATAAAACCTTTGCAAGCCCTTAGTGAAGGACGTCCTCTCCGTGAGCGCTTGAGAAGCGTTGCAAACGCCCTAGCGCCCAGTACACAGTGCAGCTGAGAATGCTTGCAGGGTGAGCGCTGTCCCCTTTGGGATCCATCACGCAGAGCCTGGCTGTCGTAAGCCAGGAGCTGAGCCCGGTTTTCACTGGGAGTTGGGTGGGGCTTTTCAAGGGTCCCTCCCCCCGGTCCCTTTCCTGGGTCGGGTGCGGGTGACTCTGACTTCACAGACGCTGTTGTCGCCCACTGGGTTGTTTTATGCGACCAGAAAGGGAAACCGGTCTCCTGCAAAGCCGCGTGTCACATCCCAGCCAGGCCGGGGGGAGGGCGCGTGTACCGGGCACCAGGAATTTCCCCTCCTTGGGTCCAATCCCGGTTCTGCTCTGGGACCTCGGGCCCGTCGTGTCCCCTTCCTGCACCACGTCGTCAGGGCTGGTCCCTGCGACCTACGCAGGGCGGAATCTCGCCCTCTCCCGTTAAAAGTTTCTCTGTGCTTGCGAGGGGGGAAGCACGGCCTCTCGGAGGCGCCCGGGGGGGGAGAATTTCCCAGGCTACAGGGTGGGGGCTCGAGCCGGTTCTGGGTGAGATGGAGGAAAAGGGACCCCTAGATATTGAACCCGGCCTCAGCTGCTGCCGGCGCTCCCTGGCAGAAGGGTTACACGTGTAAGTCCAGCACCAGCCCTCGTCACTACAGACGCACAAGTGACACTTGTGTCGGAACAGCACAAACAGAGGCAGCCAATCGCCAGCTTTCCATAGACGCCTCGCCTGGCCCGCTGCGCACTAGGGGTCATACACACACACCCGTGCGCACTCACCGGTGTGCACACACCAGTGGTTGTGGTGATTCGTAGGCTCATCTCACAATGCAGCAGCATCACACAGCCCTCGCCTGGCCCACTGTGCATGCGCACACACCCATGCACACACACCCGTGCACACACACCCGTGCGCACACACCCATGCACACACACCCGTGCACACACACCCGTGCGCACACACCCATGCACACACACCCGTGCACACACACCCGTGCGCACACACCCATGCACACACACCCGTGCACACACACCCGTGCGCACACACCCATGCACACACACCCGTGCACACACACCCGTGCGCACACACCCATGCACACACACCCGTGCACACACACCCGTGCGCACACACCCATGCACACACACCCGTGCACACACACCCGTGCGCACACACCCATGCACACACACCCGTGCACACACACCCGTGCGCACACACCCATGCACACACACCCGTGCACACACACCCGTGCCCCGGGGTGGGGCTGGGGGGGTTCAGGGTGCAGGCTGCCCCGGGGAGAGGGGAGCAGCCCAGCCCCGTCACTGCAGCTGCTTGGGGCCAGGCGAGAAGCGCCTCTCCGTGGGCACTGCAGCGCCGGCGGCCACAGCCGGGGAGGGGGTCCTGGTTCATCAGCCCCCTGCACAGAGAGGGGTGCACAGACCGGGTGTGACGGAGCGGGGAGGGTGGGCACCGTTGGTTGTCATGCTGTGTGCGATTCCCGCCATCCTGTGCTGCTCCACAGTGACTGTGTGTCTGCTGTGTGTGTGTGTGTGTGTCTGCTGTGTGTGTGTTTCTGTGTCTGCTCTGTGTGTGTGTGTCTGCTGTGTGTGTGTGTGTGTCTGCTGTTTGTATGCACACACGGTGACCAGCAGGGGACGGGGTCCCTGAGGGGAAGCACGTAGGGGATGGCCCAGGCCGGCAAACAGGCAGACCAGCAGGCAGACCAGTAGACCGGTAGGCAGACAGACAGACAGATAGCCCAGCAGGCCGGTAGGCAGACAGACAGGCAGACAGCCCGGCAGGCAGGCAGACAGACAGACAGAGCCTGGCAGGCCAGTAGGCAGACAGACAGACAGACAGCCCGGCAGGCAGACAGACAGACAGACAGCCCGGCAGACAGACAGACAGACAGCCCGGCAGGCCGGGAGGCAGACAGACAGCA